CCATGAGGACTTTGACCCACAAACCATGTACGTCTCGAAACTCTGCTAGAGCCCTCTTAAGCTATCTTGGCGTCCTCTGGGGCAGTCTATCGGCTCTCTTCGACAGGGTGAGAGCCACATCTCCAAAAATCTCCTCCAAAACCGTCCTGCCTGCCCCACCGTCGTCCCGATATGTCCCGGCAAGTCGTACGTGGAGCTATAACGAGGAAAGAGAAGGTCGTCGTCGTCGTCGTCGCACGAAGACGACGACGAAGACGACGACGAGGATGTCTTCCTCGGGAGGGCGCGGCCTAGAGGCCGCAGAAACGGTGCGAATATCATATATCCCTGCCACTCGTTCGTGACTGGGGAAAGCTGAAGTGGTGAGGATCCCATTGCACTGCCACACGTTCGTGATGATGATGCTACTCAACATAAGAAGATAGCAACTTCGATTCGTAACTTTCCCCCCAGATCATGAAGTTCGGCCTCGCCGCCTCTCTCCCCCGACCAACTCTGTCGTGGCCAGAGAGAATCAATTCTCTGGGGGGGAAAAGGGGGTATGATTCATTGTCCGGGGCCTGGGATTAATGCTTGGCGCTTCGCGTACCCCCACCAGTCTATCCAGAAACGATGCCCAGGCGAGTTGCACTCATCGGGGAAGTGTGGGAGCACGCAGTGTGGAAGACCTCCCACCTCGAACCCCCCTCTCGCCCAGCCCCTTCGCCCGGCCTGGTCAGGGCACGATGGCGCGGTCGCGGGGCTCGGCGCGTGCAGCGCGGGAGGTGAGCAAGGCGGAGGCCAAGGGGGGGCCAACCTCAGGAGGCAACTCCTGGGAGGTCTTTTTGGAAACGATTCAAGGCGAGTCAGCAAACTCAGAACGCCATTAAGACGAATCAGCCCAACTCATGCCGAATATTGAGCCCGATATCGCAAAATCAAGCGGGAATGCGCGGCATTTATATACATAAAGCCAGATATGGAATTAGGCCTGCTTTCAATCACGGATATACCAGCGCCGATGTTGAATTGAACATCCTAAGATTCGCGTCCTACATCTCCCAGGCATACCCCAGCCCGATGGCGATCAGGAGGGGCCCACCCTACCCCGCCGCAGGCGTCCCCCAGCTCGATGTCGTCCACCTCTCGCTCCGCACTGGGCTCTTTCAGGAGGTACCACGCACAGCCCGCCGTGCACAATCCGCCGCCTCGCCGGTCGTCAGAGAAGTGGAGAGGTGTCAAAGAAGGCGAGAGCGGATCGATTCTCTCGGCTTCGCTCTGCCTGTCGTTGACCCTGGAAAGAGACAGACAGACAGACAGACAGACACACAGACAGACAGACAGACAGACAGACAGGCAGGCAGACTGACGGAGAGACACAGACAGACAGACAGACAGACAGACAGACAGACAGACAGACAGACAGACAGACAGACAGACAGACAGTCAGACAAACGGACAGACAGACAGACAGACACGCAGATAACCGACAACAGAGACGGAGGAAACAATACGGAGATAGGGGAAGAGAGAGAGAGAGAGAGAAAAGAGAGAGAGAGGGACAGGGAGACAGGGAGAGATAGAGAGATGGGGGCAAGCTAGGTGCGCTAGCGCAACATCTGATATCCTACTCCTCCCACCCATCCCTTCCCATGGCGCTGATTTTTTCTATACTCGTCGACGGGTGTCGTGGCGGACTTGGAACCCCAAAAGGACACCGCCGTGTTACGCGCAGTCAGAGAAGGGGGACCGTGCACGTTGGAGGAGGAAAGGGGCGGATCAGCAGCAGGAGTAGCAGGAAAAAAAAACAGGGGGATAATGAAGAGGGAAGAGCAGGAGCAAGAGCAGGAGCGGCAAGTAGCCCGCGGTGGGGCAATAACGCCATTCCAAACGACAGGAGCAAGGCGCCGATCCCAAAATGAGGCTCGCGCTGCAGCGGAACCACCAATCTGAAACACCAGGAGCGTTCCGATCGAAAATAACATTGGAACCACCAAACCATGGCATCCTGATTGTAAAAAAAATCCGTGGAGAGGGCGACAGATCTTACGGAAAGAGTGAGACAGTCTATGCCATCAGCACACATAGTAGGTACTCGCATGCAGGGGGAGACAAAAGTCGCGAGACGTGCGACGCGCATGGGGCGAGGGGCTCTCTCGCGCAGTCGGCCGCAGGTGCACCGAGTTTCCTGGAGGACTCGGGGCGACAAGTCCCCTGCGGCCGCCGCGGGGCCCCGAGTCCCCACGGGCCCCGCGGCGATCCGGTGTATTCACTTAAACGGATTCTCCCTTCTACAAAAGAACAGGCCCCACCACCTTCCCGAAGCGGGACTTATCCCCCCGCCCTGGGGATGTTTAGTGTATTTGTGTTTCTGCCCCATGTCCACTATAATTTTGAAATCAGACCATCCCAGCAGTGCCGGTATTGACTCCCGCATTCACCCCTTGCAACAGTTCTCATGCGCGTACACCTCTTCATCTTCATAGTTTCTTGTTCAACCCCCTCGTTGTAAAAACACTGGGCGAAGTGCACTCGCGAGCGCCGTCGCGCGCGCATGCCAACTTTTCTCCCACCAATCTTCTAGACTGCGCAAGGATTCCAAAGGCGAGTGCCCCGAAAACACACAACGATCTATGGTGTCGCAGCAAGAATGCTTTATACCAAAAAGATGCATTCGCGCACTTGGAAGCTCGAAAAAAACATGGGACCATGGACGCCTAAAACTACCATGCGTGCCTTTTCTCTCGCGCGCATGTCGGAATCATTCGAAGCCCCTTGCGCGCATGCTGTCGCAAGAAGGCCTCGCACAACAAAAAAATCGGATGTGCACGCGCGCGTCGCATGTCGAAACCAATCGATCACTTTACATCCCGCTGGGGCTTGAAGACCGAATACCCCGAACAAAGGCATCGAAATGCTGGTTTCGCAGCAGGACCCCCCCCCCCGATAAAAAAAACGCTTGCACTCGTGCTCTTGAGAACTCTCCAGGCACCCACCGTTTGTTTTCAACCGTGTCTTAACAGGCTACCATGCGTGCCTGTCGCGCGCGCATGTCGAAAGCATTCGGTCCCCCTGCGCGCGTGTTGGGAAAGGGGCGCAACCCTTGCCAACGGCAAAAACCCATGCGGGCCACTCGCCCGCGCCGGCCACGCGCGCATGTCGAAATCGCTCCAAAACCTTCACCACCGAAGCGGAGACATCATCATCGCCATCGGCATGATCAGCATCGGCGCTGTCATTGCCCTTGCCGTTGTCGTTGCCACCATCGTCGCCAACATCGCTACTATCGTCATCGTGTTTGCCGTTGTCGACGTCGCCATGCTACCTCGGCCGCCCGAATCACCGACTCGCACTGGTGTGCCCGAGCGTCAGCGCGGCCTGCGAGACGCGCTGGGAAGTTCCCAGCGGGCAGCGCCACCGCGGCCGCGTCGGTCGCGCCAGACTAGCTGGCCGCTCTGCGCGCGAACCTGCGCGCGCTAGCGCGGCCTCCTAGATGCACCAGCCAGCAGCAAGCAACCATCGCACTCGCCGCCGCATGGGTTTTGCAAACTAGGTTGTGGGTGGGTGGGCGGGTGGGTGGGATGATTGCGCGAGCCTAGCAGGTGATCACGCGCAATGAAGTCACAGTCAAGTTCACCGCATAGCTTGCACCACATTGTTTGCACCACATTGCTTAAACCACATGGCGTACACTACATAGAACGCCCCGCATAGCTTGCACCACAGCTTGTACCACATCGTTTGTGCCGCATAACTTGCACCACGCATATTGTTGCACATGCCTTCCGCCATGTAGTCTAAACCAGATAGCTGACACCGAACACATGGCTCCACATCGCTTACTTGCAACACATGGTGTTCCGCACGTCGTACGTCTAACACGACGTGGCTTGCACCACGAACGTTGCACAACGACCCTTGCACTACAAACTTTGCAACCTATAATCGCACACTTGTCTTTCACCACGTAGATTGCACTACATAGCTAGCACCCCACAGCTCACACATCCACACTGGAATAACATTCTGTTTGGGGTCCACGCTGGCAAACATAAATAGATACTGACAGATCGCAAATCCGATCCGACGCCAATCGCAAAGAAGAAACTGCACCCATCCCCGCCGCAACCTCCTTAGCAGCCTAAGGGTGGTCCTAGAAGTATGTTCAAGCGCCTCGAGAAGCTGTCTGGGGTCTTGACCTCGCTGGAGCAGCTCACAGGAGCAATCGAATCGGCAGATCCTTGGCATGATGGTGAACATTTTTGGTTCGCGCATGGTCCTTCTGCCCGATGTAAACCACATGAGAATGTGCTTTAGAACTCAGGGTGAACCAGTACCACCAAACATGCGACCCAACTCAGCATGTGAAACTTGCTGCAACATGATACATGTGCCGGCGCCATGTGCCAACGACACGATCGCTTGAAACCAAGGACGCATGCGGCGCCGCCTGCCGTGACGACATCCCATGCAAGCACAGCGCAATCTGTCGTGATAGCACTGGCCGTGGGCTGCTCGGTGCGCAACCTGCCAAAATCTGAGAGAGGGACACGCCGTGCATGTCAGAGGTGAGCGGGCTAGAGGAGAGTGCGGACGCGGCCGTCTCCGTGACCGAGCCATTTTGAGATAGGCTGATTGTCGAGGTTGACGGAATCGGAGCGGCGAGAGGGGAAGGGGAAGGCGACAGAGAGTAAAGACGAAGACATGCGAGGCCCAGTGGCAAAGGTGGCCAACGAGGTGAACGCTTGCATGGAGTGGCACGGCTCTGGGGATGTCTGCGCAGGATCGTGAACTTGCTACGCGGGCGAGTGCCAGTAGATAAATAAAATGTGCCTGGCAGGACCCATCCTTTCAGCACGCAGGCGCGCTAGAAGCACTGGGCCATGACGGCCACAAGGATGACACTCCAATATCGGTAGAGTTCGAGCACTTAAGCGCGCACGAACGGCGCCCTCGGGGGAGAGAGCGAGACGTTCCCACCGTCCTCCACCTCCTCCACCTGCTGCTGCGACATATCCGTCCTTTCCTCCTCTGGCAGGTGAACGCTGCGTGGACCCATGGTGCTACTATTCATGGAGGCAGGTCGTATGATGCACAGCCCCCGTGCGCCCAAGAAGGAGTTTCGTCAAACTGAATGTGTGTCGCCCAGGGGAACAGGTAAGACGAGGATTCGATCCGAATCGAGCCCATGGAGCCCCAGGACCGCAACGGTGGAGCGCTCTGGGGCGTGTCAGAAGGGATTCCAAGAGAGGCGTTGAAATGCCGATCTGCTGCCCTCTGCGCGAAGAGCGCTGGCCAAGGCCCGCAGCCACTAGGCCCCCACGCGGAGGGCTCGGGGCGCAGGCTCGCACGGCGCGGGGTCCTGCCTGGCTCCAGGCTGAGCCCCGCACTCTCTCGCGGCGGCGGGGAGGTAAAAGTGGGCGAAGCGCCCTCACGCTCCACCGCTGCGCTTCCCGCTCGCGGAGGATCCAACCCCCCCTCCCACGACACGACAACACCTGACCATGACCCCGACCCCGAGACCCACCCTTCATTCTGGCCTCGGGCTCCGGCTGGGGACGCAGCACTGTCGGCGCTCTCAGCAAGTGGCCTCGAGACGGTTGACCTGGGCAGAAATGCCCTTCATGTCCGTTGCGGAGCATCGCATCGGGCAACGAGGCCCGTGCTTCAGCCACTGCCCTATACAATCGTCATGAAACAAATGGCCACATGGAAGCCTGCCAACTGGACATCCAGGTACGACTTCACCTAAACAAATGACGCAAGGAGAGCGCGCCACATCAAGCGTAGCCGCTGTTTCCTCATCAAGCTCAAAAGAAACAACGGTTGGCTGCATCTTGCTAGAAGGTAAACTGCGTCCAGCCAGGGTCATCGTCAACGGACCTGCCCTGGAACGCGAGATGTTGCGGTGTTCTTCGATGTATTGCATCTTGAACAACTGAACGACCATCGAAAGGCTAGCACCGACAGACACCACGCAAATCGAAAGGTTACGGCGGAACAGATGCACTTCAATGTGGTTCAGTCGAGACTGGTATAGATCCCAAATGAAAGCAGTGGCTGTACCTGCGAAAAGGACGCAACATGCATTGAAAACATGCTCGATCTTGTCGCCAGGTAGCCAGCGCCATCTACCGTTGAAGGGACAATGAGAAGCTAAGCTGAAGCCCATCCTTGCTAGATTGGTGATCGCTGCGAGAGCCAGAAACATCCACTCCATGGGAGTGGAGCCATTGCACAACGAGAAAGCAATGTACAATGCTATACAAGAGAACTGCACGATCTCGTTCATGGCAATGGTGATGTAGAGCGCGGGTACCATGCACCCAAGACAGCGGCGAGATACGATGAACTCCAGGCTGCTACACCCCATGCAGACACAGACCTATGCCTTCACGACTCCGTTCGACTCGAGCGGTCTGCACAACAATGCCCTACGCCACAATGGCCTGAGCCTAGCCTAGACGGCTGCGTAGACAAGCCGACGTATGCTCTTGGGCATCGCTCGGGGGCCGCCGGGACAACCTGACATGTCCATGACCGCCCACTGGTGCCAAGGATCACTCTTCTCCTCCTCGTGCTCTTCCTGCTCGTCCCCATCCTCCTCTTTCACGTGCCTCTCCTCCTCCCCGTGCTCCCAAGCCTCCTTTTCCACGCTCTGGACCTCGCACACGCCGTCTCTCTTGAACACCACAACAGGTTCTAGCATTACTGGCAGCCTTCCGCCGAGGGCGGGGTCAACTCATCAAAACTGAGGTCAGACTCATCGATCCTGCGAAGACAGAGCGCCAGCGCGTGGACCCCAAGCAATAAGCTCTTGCACTCCAGACGTGAAGGCTACGATCAGTACCAATCACTGGGCACCAGCCAGATGGAACCATCAGTTACCGACCGTAGAGCACCGGGAACAGGGTACCGACCGTGGAGCACCGAGCAGAGATGACGGTGACAATGATGACGATGACGATGACGGTGACGATGACAACGACGACGACAACGACGACGATGATGACGATAACGATGATGATGATAAGGATGACGATGACGATGGCATCATCAGCATCATCATCATAATCATCCTCACCGTTGTCATCGTCATCGACATCATCGTCATCGTCATCGTCATTGTTGTCATCGTCATCGTCACCATCGTCATCGTCATAGGCATCACAAAGCGCCAATCTGGAACACCTATCGCAAGCATCACACCGTAGGGCACCGGCTGCGGAGCACCAGCCACAGGGCACCGACCGTAGGGCGCCAAGCGCGCCAATGGCCAACCACGACACGCAGAGTCAGTTCCCTCGGGCGTCAAGCAGAAACTACAAGTGCAATCTCTGACTACGGTACACTTCGCGGGATATGGAGTTGGAGGGACGGGTGCAACTCTTGTAAATCTTCTACCCCGCTAACTGTCCAAACGACCCTGACTCTTCAAACCTTTGCATGTCGTCTCCCTCCTCCTCTGCTGGTTGTGCCTCTTCTGACCCGTTTCGCCCCCACATGGAAACCTGGCCTCTGTGTATTGGGAGCGTCTGTCACTTTCATCTCTTCTACCCGTGATGGATCTCATGCATGTCCTACCACGTCTAGACACTCGATCTCGTCCTACGATAACTCTTCTAGCTCCTCTGCGTAGAACACGATTCGCACTCTCAATACTAGTCGGACATATCTAGCTCACTGGGCACTCCGAACTCGTATCCGCCGCTGTGCCGCGAGACACTGGTGGGAGTGCCATCGGGGGCTTTCGAGATCTCTCCACTGAATATTGGAGGTGCCCTTCGAGGGCCTACTCCCGAAATCTCGGCGCTACCAGGCGCCCATGTGCCATCCCAGGATTTCCAGCAGAACTTGTCCCAAAGACCCTGGGAGCGTCGCAGCGGGTCTTAACCTCCTCCGTGCCCTGAGATGGCCCCGCGGACCGTCCTCGGGCTCTCTTGAGGCCTCTTGGCGTGTTTTGGAAGCCGCAGGGGGGCGGGGGGAGGAGGGGGGAAACCGAAATCATTGACAGCAGATCTGTCGTTGCATAAGTTTCGAGTGCTCGCCATTTCGGTCTCCAGAGCTCCTAGAAGCCCCAAAGAGGGACCCATAAAGAGAAAACCAAATTGCGCCATTCGAAGCTTCCCACGTCTAGAAGGCCCCCCAGACAGCCAGTAAGCCCCCCAAACGGTCCCAAGGAAGACCTCGAAAGGCTTCCAATACGTCCTCAGGAGGCCTCCAAGAAACGCTCCACAAGGCATCCAAGAAGCCTCTCGTCCACGACACAAGCAGGGTGGCGTGACCGGCCAACTACAATTAGATCCGCGGCCCCCGGCGGTCTGTCCACAGGGGATACTGGCGTGCCGAACTTTTGACAGCCAGCCATCGTCAAAATGCGGCTCCCAATCGCTTGCAAGCTCAAAATCGACCAAACATGCTTCCAAGATACCCAGGATGGCCCCCAAGATGACCCCATACGACTCAAAGACAGCCAAGATGGCCGGAATAGAGACCGGAACTACTCCAAGTGGCTCCAAAATGCCCTCCTGACGGCCCAAAGGCCACCAAGACAGTGCTCGAAGATGACTTCCAGGAAGTCCCATCATTGACTTTCTTTGATGTTCCACTCGGTTTCCCCAATCATCCTGTGGTGTTGGGTCCTCGAACTGATGAGACAGCGCCCCGCGTCACCTCCCGCCCGCCTCCCCCTTCTATTCTCCTTCCTCCTCCCTCCTCTTCCTCCACCTCCTTGCCTCTGCCCTCATCAGTATGCGTCTCCCCCACCCAGCGCAGCGCTTCGTGGCTCCAGAAGGAGCTCCACCGAAGGCCCCAATGGTTGCTCTGGCACGCGTGACCCCCACCCAGCACAGCGCTTCGCGACCCCAAATATAGCTCCACCGACGGCCCCAGCGGCTGCACTCGCAGGCGCCTCCCCCGCCCAGTACAACGCTTCGGCGGGCGGGGCCTGCAAGGCCAGCGTGGGTGGGCCGGAGCCCTCAGAGGTCCTTGTCGGAGGCGGAGTCGAAGCTGGCGTTGCTGGAGTCTGAGCAGGCTGTGCTAGAGTCGGAGCCGGCTTCGCTGGAGTCGGAGCCAGCGGTGCTAGAGTCGGAGCCGTCGGTGCTGGGGTCGGAGCCGGCGGTGCTGGGGTCGGAGCCGGCGGTGCTGGAGTCGGAGGCGGCCGTGCTGGGGTCGGAGCCACCAGTGCTGGAGTCGGAGCCGGCGGTGCTGGAGTCGAAATGCTGGGGTCGGAACTGGCGGTGCTGGAGGTGGAGCTGGCTGGAGTCGGAGCCCGCGGTGCTGGAGTCGGAGCCGGCGGTGCTGGAGGAGGAGCTGGCGGTGCTGGAGTCGGAGCCGGCGGTACTGCAGTAAATGGCTTCGTGGTCACGTGGGGAGCCTCACCGAAGGCCTCAGTGGCGGTGTCGGCATGCGTCTCCCCACCCAGTACAGAGCTTCGTGGCCCCACGGGGAGCTCCACCGAAGGCCCCAGTGGCGGTGTTCGCATGTGTCTTCTCCAATCAGTACAGCGCTTCGTGGCCCCATGGGGAGTTCCACCGAAAGCTTCAGTGGCGGTGTCCGCATGCGGTTCCCCCCCACACAGTTCAAAGCTTCGTGGCCCCATAGGGAGCTCCACCGCCACAGTGGCGGCATCGGCGTGCGATTCCCACACCCAGTAAAGCGTTTCGTGGTCCCACTGGGAGCTCCACCGAAGGCCTCAGCGGCGGTGTCCGCATGCGGTTCCCCCATACAGTACAGCGCTCCGTGGCCCCATAGGGAGCTCCACCGAACGCCCCAGTGGCAGTGTTCGCATGCGCCTCCCCCACCCAGTACAGCGCTTCGTGGCCCCATAAGGAAGTCCACCGAAGGCCCCAGTGGCAGCCCCGCCCCATTGCGGCGTACCCCTCACACGCTTCGTGGCCTCATAATGGGTTCCACCTAGAAAGCCCCAGTGGAAGCGCCCACATGGCGGCCCCGCCCCAAGTCTCCAAACCCTTCGGATGCTTCATGGCCCCATGAGGAGATCCCCCGAAGGTCATTCTCGTTACGACTGTACTCACAACTGCATATGGTTGGGTCCTTCGCCAGGATAATTTAACAAGTATCGAGGTCTCGCCTCTTCGGGCTTCAGACCTGTGAAGGCGGCCCCAGATGCCTCCAAGATAGCCCCCGGACGAATCCAGAGGCCGCCAAGAGGGTCCCAGAACCAGCCCAAAGGGCCCCAAGACGGCCCAAAAGGGCCCCAAGAGGGCCCTCCACGGCCAGAAAGCGCCCAAAGGGGATCACATAGCCTACATATCATAGCTTACATCACATAGCTTGCACCACCATGCTTGCAACGCATAACTCACATTCCATAGTTCGCATCGCATTATTAAGATAGCATAGCTTGCGAATTATTGAACCCACCCTGTAGGTTACGAACCAGATCTTACATCACATAACTTACACAACATATTTCACACCATATAGTTCACACCAAAAGCGTACACAACACAGCTTACACCACATAGCTCACACAACAAAGCTTACACGCCTTAACACAACATTGCTCGCTCCCACCTCCACAATGCAAACACTCATTGTTTGAGGTCCACGCTGTCTGATATGGTCTGACTCTTTCATGTGATCAAGTTACCACCAACCAGTCTCAACACTTGCTGCAACGCAACACGCGCGCTGGGATAAACCATGTGGCAATCACGGGACAACTAGACAAAGCAATCGTGAGCAAAAAGCGGGGCAACTGTACGCGCAAGACAATCGCGCAAGGCGATCGCACAGGACAGCCGCAGGATCAAACACTGAGCAGCCACAGTGCAAGCGCGGAGCGTCCCCGGGGGTGACGCGCTGGCCACGGGAGGGCGAGAGACAAGACGACTTGACCCGGCCCTGGGGTGGGGAGGCTCTCCCTCGGCCTCACGAAATGTCGCCTCGCGCGCACGTGCACGTCACGAACCGAAACCGAAAACGGCTTCCCGGTGGGGGGGGGGAGGGCTGTCTGCTGCAATCGCACACACGCCGAAGCCTCTGACCTGCCTGGTCAGCGCAGGACGGACAGAGCCGCCCCTGGGCTGGCGGTCCCCCCCGCCCCCGCACGTCTCGCCACGTACGGGCGAGCGCCCCAAGACGAGCTGAGCCCCGCGCAGATCAGCCCAGACCTCAGACGCCAACCGGAGGGCAGAGGGCAGAGGGCAGAGTGCGCTGTCAGCCCCCGCCCGCCTGCGTCTGAGCGCGGTCACTCGTGCACGCGTGAGCGCAAAATGCCTCCACGCACATCTGCGCGCGGGCCTGAATTTTCGACGTCGGCGCTATTCGCCTGGGCGAGAGCGGGGGACCCGAAGGTTTTGGGCCCCTTCGGCGCCCCGGATCAGCCGAGTTCCCCCGAAAAAAGCCGAGCACGGCATCCCCAATCTGAGACTAGGCAACCGAACAATATGGCGCTGTTGCCCCCTTCCCCCCACCTCCTGGTGCGAGATCGGGAACACACTCTATACCTGGCCTCCGACTTCTCTGCTCTTTTCGGCGCGTGGTCCCTGGAAGTCCCAGCAAGTCCCTGGAGGGGAACGTTATGGGGGGACTGGCTCATGTGG